ATATAGTTAGCCTCAGAGTGAGATGTACACTGATATATTTGATAGTGAAATCCTAATTACAAGTGCCAAAAACTATGAGTTCTGCTGATTCTGGACACAGAGTCTTAATTTATGAAAAAGTATCATTATGTCCAGCTTTCTGAGAGAACCCAGTTCTATCACTGAACTCAACAGATATTCTGCCTATTTCCATGTTTTCATTAACACAGTCCCAAACTATGTGAAAACTGACATCTATGCCCAATTGATTATAAAGACATGAGAAATCCTACTTTTTTTTTTTTTTTTTTTTTTGCGGAGTCAGAGTCTTGTTTTGTCATCGAGGCAAGAGTGCAATGATGCAATCTTGGCTCACTTCAACCTCTGCCTCCCAGATTCAAGTGATTCTCCTGCCTCAGCCTTCTGAGTAACCAGGATTACAGGCATATGCCACCAAGCTCAGCTAATGTTTGTATTTTTAGTTTAGACGGGGTTTCAGCATGTTGGCCAAGCTGGTCTCAAACTCCTGACCTCAGGTGATCTGCCCACCTCAGCCTCCCCAAGTGCTGAAATTACAGGTTTAAGCCACCTCATCCTGCTGGAGAAATCCTATTTCTCTGCCTAAACTTGAGTAGAGGTCTCTAAAGTTTAAAATAGAATTTAAACCCTGTCCTCATTTTCCTCTGCTTAGGTATCATACTCTCAAGGACTTGTTTATGTAATAAATTTTATATTGAAGGTATTCAAGCAGAAGCTGTACCAATGTTACTGACGGTACTGATACATCTGATAAAAGAGTGGTCCAGAGAATGTTTCTTAGTCCTAGCTGATCAAGAGAATTAACTCGATAGTTTTAAACAATACAGATTCCATATCTTGACCATACTTAATCAGAATCTCTAAGAAGTACTACTAATAATTTCTTACAGCCAATCCAGGACCAGCTCCTGGGAAATTACTTAGGAATCCCTGGACTGAGTTTTCTAAAAGATCCATTTAAATATATAATTTTAATAATTTTTGACAGTGGAAATAGCATTGCACTAGAAATTAGGTGACTGAAATTCTAGTGCCAGCTCTGCCATTGGTCACTTTGATGACAGACAAGTCGATTTACCCTGTGGAGCCTCAGTTTCCCCTTCTGTAAAATTAGGGACATTGAAAGTCCCTTCCACCTCCAAACCCAGTAAATTTTACTTGTTTTGGCATTCTGGGGAACCAAGATTTTATTTTAAGATTCTAATTTCCAATACTGCTGGCTGTTTTTAACGGCGCATAAAGAGCTTATATGGACACTGCCATCTCAAAAGAAAGGTTCAAGATGGGGTCCACAGAAGTCTTAAGAGTTCTATCATTGTTTTGGTAACTTTGAACAAATCTCCCTGTAAACATCGGGGACAAATGCTGTAAATATGTGGACAAAAGTCTCTTGTGTTACCAGTGGTTAATGGATATGCCTGCAGCTACCACCTGAAATAGTTTTGGCTCTGACTCCAGCACCAAAGTTTCTGGCCTTTAACTGTTTGGTAGGGTGATATAACTCACATTATACAGCATACATGGGCCAGCTTTTAGAATATACATACATATATATATATATATATATATATATATATATATATATATTTTTTTTTTTTTTTGAGATGACGTTTAGCTCTTGTTGCCCAGGCTGGAGCGCAATGATGTGATCTCAGCCTGCTGCAACCTCTGCCTCCCGGGTTCAAGTGATTCTCCTGCCTCAGCCTCCCAAGTGGCTGCGATTACAAGTGCCCACCACCACGCCTGGCTAATTTTTATATTTTTATTAGACATGGGGTTTCAGCATGTTAGGTGATCCCCTCCCCCTCAGCCTCCCAAAGTGCTGGGATTATAGGCATGAGCCACCATGCCTAGATGTAGGGATTTTTTTTGTTTTTGTTTTTGCTTTGTTTTTTAAGAACTACTTGTTATAGTAAGATCTGCTTTTTTCTTAATTTTTTAATTTTTATTTTATTTTATTTTTTGAGACATAGTCTCACTCTGTTGCCAGGCGCCAGGCTGGAGTGCAGTGGCGCAATCTTGGCTCACTGGAATCTCTGCCTCCTGAGTTCAAGCAATTCACCTGCCTCAGCCTCCTGAGTAGCTGGGACTATAGGCATGCGCCACCACGCCCAGCTAATTGTTGTATTTTTTAGTAGAGAGGGGGTTTCACCACATTGGTCAGGATGGTCTCAATCTCTTGACCTCATGATCCGCCCACCTTGGTCTCCCAAAGTGCTGAGATTACAGGCGTGAGCCACCGCGCCCGGCTGATCTGCTTTAGCCTGTGCACAGTGGCCCATGTCTGTAATTCCAGCACTTTGGGAGAACAAAACTGGAGGATCACTGGAGTCCAGGAGTTCGAGACCAGCCTGGGCAACACAGTGAGACCTTGTCTCTACAAAAAAAATTTTTAATTTGCTGGGTGGCGTGTGCCAGTAGTCCCAGCTACTCAGGAGGCTGAGGTGGGAGGATCACTTAAGCCTGGAAGGTTCAGGCTGCAATGAACCATGATCACACCACTGCACTCCTGCCTGGGAGACAGAGTGAGGCCCTGTTTCAAAAAATAAATTAATTAAATAAAGCAAAATAAAATTATGGTCCAGCTTTCTTCTGGTTATCTTGCTCTAATTAACTCTAGTTTGTTTCCTGACTCATAATTTCCCTCTTCACACCATACCCCTTTTTCCCTTCTCTGCTTCCACAAATTCAACTTCTTTGACCCCTTGTTTTACAAATGTTTAGTCACACTCTCACCCATGAGATTAACATTTAAAAACTTTATTTAGCCAAGTGCAATGGTTTCTGCCTGTTATCCCAGCACTTTGGGAGGCTGAGATGGGCGGATCACAAGGTCAGGAGATCGAGACCATCCTGGCTAACACAATGAAACCATGTCTCTACTAAAAAGGCAAAAAATTAGCTGGGCGTGGTGGCACACACCTGTAGTCTCAGTGACTAGGAAGGCTAAGGCAGGAGAATTGCTTGAACCCGGGAAGGGGAGGTTGCAGTGAGCCAAGATCGTGCCACTACATTCCAGCCTGGGCAACAGAGCGAGACTCCATCTCAAAAAAAAATTTTATTCACACTGAGTAACAAATAGCTAGTGTTTACTAAATGCTTATTATGTGCCAGGCACTGTATTATGCAATTTACACACAACATATCAATTGTTATAAATTTAGAGTACTATTTGTTCCTCCACTATACAGATAAGACCCAGAAATATTCAGTAACTTGCCCAAAATTACATAGCTAGTTAGGTGGTGACATAGGATTTGAAATCAAGCACTTAGACTCCACAGCCTTCTACTCTATTGTGTCCTATAAAAGAAAGGATTAAAGAAAACTATACTTGACTATGATGAAAGAGATGGGAGATTTATGATTTTTGATCATAACTAATATATCACAGGCCGGGTGCGGTGGCTCAAGCCTGTAATCCCAGCACTTTGGGAGGCCGAGGCGGGTGGATCACGAGGTCAAGAGATCGAGACCATCCTGGTCAACATGGTGAAACCCCGTCTCTACTAAAAATACAAAAAAATTAGCTGGGCATGGTGGCGTGTGCCTGTAATCCCAGCTACTCAGGAGGCTGAGGCAGGAGAATTGCTTGAACCCAGGAGGCGGAGGTTGAGGTGAGCCGAGATCGCGCCATTTCACTCCAGCCTGGGTAACAAGAGCGAAACTCCGTCTCAAAAAAAAAACAAAACAAAAAACAAACAAACAAACAAACAAAAAATAACTAATATATCACTATGGATAGGTCATAATTGTTCCGATTTTCTCATTCATAAATAAGTTGAAGTAGACACAACTACTGTGTCATAATACTCTGCGATTCTATTGTGTGAAAAGTGTGTATTTGATCTTTTGTCTCCTGATATGAAAGGACTTTGGCATTTCACCCCCTTCTCCTATATTTTCATATTTATTCCAGCACTAGCTTACATTCTAACAGCGAAACACAGGTACATATGTATTTTATGTGTGTCCTGTTTCTATTTCTGTAAAACAAGATGTATTTGAGTAGCATAAAATTTTTAGAAAATTTCAAATCTCATCCCTATTTTTCTGGTACTTTCAGATCTGATATCTTGATGATAGCAGAAGTTGCTTAAAGTTGGAAAATTATTGTGGTTTTGCCCAACATGGCAAATCACTGCTTTTTATTTTGTATACAGTTTTCACAGCTATAACATATAAATGTAATATAATATACAAAATGTACAGTTTTCACAGCTATAATAATTGGCTATTTTATGTTGATCTTTGAAAAAGCAATGTATTCCAGTAGAATTTTTTTTTAACAGGGTCTTGCTCTGTCACCCAGGCTGTAGTGCAATGGTGTGATCATAGCTCACTGTACTTTGACCTCCCAGGCTCAAGAGACCTCCCACCTCAGCCTCTTGAGTAGCTGGGACCACAGTGAGCACCACTTTTTAAACGTTTTGTAGAAATGGGGGTCTCAATATATTGCCCAGATTGGTCTCAAACTCCTGGGCTCAAGCAATCCTCCTGCTTCTGACTTTCAAAATGCTGGGATTATAGGTGTGAACCATCATGCGCCGCTAACATTTTCTTTTCTGTTTTTGTGTTCCTATTTCTTGAATTAATGTTTCCTTATGTTTATCAAGCATAGTTTCTTTTACTTTTAGGAATTAAGGCTGAATTAGGACTTTTAATGACTGCCATACTAAAACTCCTTAGCCTTTTAAAGCGGAAATACATTGGGAGGATCAGCAAAGTCATAGAAAGAGTGGGTGGGTGGGGATAAAAGAGTAAAGCCCTTTTGCAAATAGGCACACTTAGACTGAAAGCAGGTCCTTCAACCTCTCTGCATATATTTAATCTCTCTACAAAAGTTAAAGTGTATTTGCTTATCTTTTTAGCTATCATTACTATTATTCTGACATTTTATATTTTGCTTCTTTTTTGTTCTTTTTTGGAGAAGTCAGTACTGAAGGGGGAATTTAACTTTTAAAATGACCAGTTATACATACCTAGCATGGAAGCAGAATATAGGTAAGCAACAAATGAAGGATCATTTTAACTGGAATGTGATGGCTGCACAACTCTGTAAATGTATTAGAAGTCATTGAATCTTCTTGCTGAGAGTGTCTCTGGAAAAAGAAAAGAAAGAAAAAAGTCATTGAATCACATACTTAAAACAGTAGAATTTTACAATATGTAAATTAAAAGTCAATAAAGTTTTTGAAATTCCCTTAATTCCTTGCTTTCTTTCTGCTCATACAAATGCATATATATATACCACCGAACTGCGCCCTGACACTGCTTTGAAACTATCTCCTTTTCCTTTGTTCAACCACATTCTGTGACCATCTTTCCAGCTCAATTCACATTCCACAACATTATTTTAAATGAGGGCATAGTTTTTTTATTTTATATTCAGTATGTAATTTTTTTTTTTTTTGTAGAGCTAGGTTCCACCATGTTGGCCAGGATGGTCTTGATCTCCTGACCTTGTGATCCGCCCGCCTTGGCCTCCCAAAGTGCTGGGATTACAGGCATGAGCCACCGTGCCCAGCCTTTTTTTTTTTTGAGATGGAGTCTCACTTTGTCACCCAGGCTAAAGCGCAATGGTGAATCTCAGCTCACTGCAACCTCCACCTTCTGGGTTCAAGCGATTCTCCTGCCTCAGCCTCCCAGGCAGCTGGGACTATAGGTGCATGCCACCACACCCCACTAATTTTTTGTATTTTTAGTAGAGACCAGGTTTCATCATGTTAGCCAGGATGGTCTTGATCTCCTGATCTCGTGATCCACCTGCCTCAGCCTCCCAAAGTATTGGGATTACAGGCATGAGCCACCACGCCCAGGCATAATTTGTTTAATCAATTGATTCCCTGAACATTTTTGCAGTTTAAGTTTTGTGCAAATTTCTTTAGGTTAAATTACTAAAAGAATCAGTGCTAGATCATAAGGCATGTTTATTTTAAGGTTTTTCTTACTTACAAATTGCCCTCTAAAAAAAACTGTACCAATTTGTACTCCTACAAGTAGTCATTCTGTCTTTGCTTTTCTCCCATCGAAACTCAGTATTAGTATTTTATAAAGTCTCTGTAATTCTGACAGGTAGAAATGGTAGCTTGTTATTAATTTACATTTAAATTACTAATAAAGTTGAATTTTTGGTTATTTATTAGACACTTGAATTTCAGTTTACCTTCTCTGTCCATCTCCCCAAATCACTAATATGTGTACATGTGTTTCTTATGAATTCATATGAGACTTTTATACATTAAAGATAAATAACCTCGTCATATATTTTGCATTTTTCCAGTTTATATTTTTTATCTATGTTGTTTTTGCAGAAGAAAGTCAAATCATATGGTCATACCTATCAATCTTTTGCTTTGCAGATATTGTCTTGGGTACTGTCCTTGATAAGGCCTTCCCCACTCCCAAATATTTAAACATTCACCAATATTTCTTTTACTAATTTTATGTTTTCTTTCTTTAGACCTCTAATTTATCTAGATTTTATTTTTATATATAACACAGGACAAGGATATAACTTGTTAGAATAAATGTGGAGATAAATTTTTACCTTATTTAGTGCATGTCTTCCAAGTATCAAAAACTGTGTTATATATATGGTTTCTAGTAATAAACACAGCAAGAATGTTCTCATCCTTATGTAATTTACCAACTCAGAGAGATAACATACTATTTAAGTGCAAGTTTGACAAATGTTATGAAGAAGTGCTAACTTCTACAGTAGAGTGTAGTACGTGGAATCTATCAATTGTTCTGGTACCTATTGAGCAGTTGATCTTTAAAAGGAGGTAGTTTGGTTGACGTGAAGAAGGATTCAATTAAAAAACAACAGGGCACAGTGGTGCAAGTTTGTAATCCCAGCTACTCAGGAGGCTGAGATGGAAGTACTACTTAAGCCCAGGAGTTAGAGACCAGCTTGCGCAGCATAGGGAGACCTCATCTCGGGGAAGGGGAGCACCGAAAAAACCCAACCATACACACGCACAACCAACCAAACAAAAAACAACAATGAACATTTATTATTTCAGAGTATCCGTGGGTCACAATGTTGGTATGGCTTAGCTGGGTTATCTGTTTCAGGATCTCTCACAAAGATGCAAACAAAGTCTTGTCCAGGGCTGCAATCTCATCTGCAGGAAAATTCACTTCCAACTTTGCTCACATGGTTGTTGGCAGAATGTAGCTCCTCATAGGCTGTTGTTAAGCCAAGGCTTCAGTTCTCTGGTGGGAATTCAGTTCCTTACAGGTTTTTTGGTGGCTGGAGACCTCCTTTAGTTCCATGGCATATAGGTCAGAATAATTTATTTTTGTCCTAGCGTGGGTACTTAAGCTTTGATACAACTGATTTATAGTGTCTTTATGGAGTAAAAATTAGCACAGCATTCATGTTCTTAGTTCTATATTCAAGAATTAAAAAAGTGTATATACACTGTGAATACTGGTTGGTATACATTTTTGGCCTCTATGTAAATTAATACGTGGGTGAATTAAACATTCACAGAGAATTAATTACATATTGCAAAGGACAAACACATAATTCTGTACAAGATAGGAATGTCAAGAAAAGTTTAAGATGACTGAGTTTCTCTTTTAATCACATCATGGTTATAATTTCAAATTATTTTTCATTCTCTTCTTTCCTTCCTATCACACAGACTATATTGTAAATATACTCTCCTGAAGTTGCACAATGTGACAACCCTGAGCTTAGCCACACTTGTATGCGAATACACAATTGTTTTATTTTTTGATTTGATGCTGACAGTGCTATGGGTTTTATCTGAATTCAGAAAATTTAATTTCTAAGGTATAATATTTAGTCCTGAAACTAGAATTTGATTCCCAATCTTAGACCTTGAAAATGGTAACTCTAGTTTAGTGTGCACATTTTCAACATGGGCAGTACTACTCCCCAAGAGGAAAAAGTTGTTTTTTTGGGAGGGTATAAAAATAAGCATGCCTTATATATAAAGCATAAATATACATACAATCCATTAAAGCATATATGGTGTATCTGTGGTATTAAAACTTTACAGTGGGGTGCTGATTAGGAAAAACAGATCTAAAAAGGTTCCACAGGGGGCTGATAATAAAAACAAAAATTGAGAAACATGGCCCTAGTGCTAAGCTTGATAGACAGCTATTTGATGAACCATCTGGCATTACATTTTTTCCTGTATGATTTCCTGTATTAGAATATAAGCTTCTTAAAGACAGAAAATGTAACCTGATTTGTATTTTCAATAATAGCTAACACAATGGTTATGTCCAACTGTATTCAGTATATGTATAGTTTATTGAATTAATATGGAATACATCTTCCCCTACTTGCACTCATCCTACTAGCTCTATAAAGCCTTTTTCTTTTTGCGATGGAGTTTTGCTCTTATTGCCCAGTCTGGAGTGCAATGGCACGATCTCGGCTCACTGCAACCTCCACCCCCAGGGTTCAAGTGATTCTCCTGCCTCAGCCTCCCAAATAGCTAGGATCACAAGCATACGTCATCACACCCAGCTAATGATGTATGTCTTTAGTAGAGATAGGGTTTCTCCATGTTGGTCAGGCTGGTCTCGAATTCCTGACCTCAGGTGATTTGCCCACCTTGGCCTCCCAAAGTGCTGGGATTACAGGCATGAGCCACCATACCCGGCCAGCTCTATAAAGTCTAAATGTAATGATTAAAGTCAGCCTAGTAAAGTGCAACCTATCACTATCTCCCTCACAAAAATCTTAGTAAACTACTAACAAATTTTATTCAAAGAATGAAAAATCTTCAAAGTAGCGTAAGAGAAGGAGTATAGACTAGAGACAGAGAGATGAATCAGGGCTTTGATTTCTACCTCTTATCATTTGCAAGCTGAGGGAGGAGCCTTGAGCCAAGTTATAAGAGAAAGTGAAAGAGGATAAAAAAGGGACCTTTCTACGGGAAGGATACAAGAAGGATACAGGAAGGATACAATGGCATTTCTAGTAGGATTTTGTTGTTTTGTTTGAGTCAGGGTCTTGCTCTATCTCCAGGTTGGAGTGCAGTGGTTTGATCTTGGCTCACTGCAATCTCCGCCTCCCAGGTTCAAGCAATTCTTGTACCTCAGCCCTTCCCTAAGTAGCTGTGATTACCAGCGAGTGCCACTACATTTGGCTAATTTTTTGTATTTTTACTAGAGACAGGGTTTTGCCATGTTCACAGGGCTGGTCTCGAACTCCTAGCCTCATGTGATCCTCCTGCCTTGGCTCCCAAAGGGCTGGGGTTATAATTGTGAGCCACCACACGTGGCCCTAACAGTCTTATATACATCCAAAATTTCAGGCGTGTTGAACTTCTGGCAGTTCCCCAAATAGGGCATGGCTCAAATACGCCATATTTCACTCTTAAATATTTTATATATACATTCACATTTCTCTTCCCAAGGAATTTGTCCTCCAATACTCAGCTCAGGCCATACTTTCTTTCCCTAGGAAGGCCTCCATGACAATCTTGTGTGCCTTCTATAGTAAATTAAATACCGTATATTCTTGCTTCCCCAACATTCAGATCATACTTCTGCTATAGTACTTATCACAGTATAATTAATAGTTTACATGTCTCTCCTACTACTCTGTGAACTTCTTGAGAGCTGAAATGGTTTTACTATTTATTTATTTAGAGACGGAGTCTTACTCTGTTGCCCAGGCTGGAGTACAGGGGTGCAATCTTGGCTCACTGCAACCCCTGCCTCCAGGGTTCAAGCGATTCTCCTGCCTCAGCCTCCTGAGTAGCAGGCACGTGCCACCATGCCCAGTTGATTTTTGTATTTTTAGTAGAGATGGGGTTTCACCATGTTGGTCAGGCTGGTCTCAAACTCCTGACCTCATGATCTGCTCGCCTCAGCCTCCCAAAGCGCTGGGATTACCAGGCATGAGCCACTGCACCCAGCCTTATTGAATTTCTTAATTTCAACGTTTCTAGCACACTGCCTGACATGTTAGTGAACAACGAACTTATTGAATTAACTAATAAAAATACGAGCATACAAGAAGAGCACAGCAGCATTTTCAACAATTTGACAAATGAATTTTGTTTTTATTCTTCAAAGGGCCACCACTTTAAAATTGAAGGAATAA